TTGTGTGCGATGCCTGCACGGTTTCAGCCGAGCTGATTTATTAGAATCCCACCGGGAGGATTGCCAAGGTGTGGGGCAGACGGCCATACGAGTCGACATGCCTAAGGAAGGTGACAATATCCTAAAATTCGACAACCACAAGAACCAAATGTCCGTGCCTTATATCATATACGCCGACTTTGAAGCCTTGGTCAAACCTGTTGAGGCTGCCGGGGGTGTTGGGGATACCCCAACCACACTCAAAACACAGGAGCATGAAGCCTGTGGGTTTGGATACGTTGCCGTCCGTTGTGACGGGGAAACGAAAGCTCCGGTAGTGTACAGGGGTCCCGACGCGGCTGAAAGGTTTCTAAAGTGTTTGCAGGAGGAAGAAAAAATTATTAGGAATGCACTGTATACAATCGCCCCCATGCGTATGACCCGAGCCGACCGACTAGCTCACGCCTGAAGCACTAATTGTCACGTGTGTGACTCACCACTTAACGGTGATTCGGTGAGAGATCACTGTCACGTAACCGGTAAGTATAGAGGCGCCGCTCACAGCGCGTGTAACCTCAAGCTTAGAATCATCCCTAAGACAATAAACATCCCAGTGGTCTTTCAAACAATTCCCCTTGGGAGGAAGCGCAATACATTTCTATTTCTCCCTTGGGGAATTGTGGCTGCCGGGGACATTTTGCTACTTTTCAAAAGTAGGAGATGCAATGGTAGCAAGAGCTAAGGGTCCGACCAAAGCCTTATTTGGGAAATAAGGCTTTGCAGAGGCTTTTGTTGGACTTGGTCCCGGACAATCATTGTATCTACTACTGCCCATCATATTACAGCAATGGATAGCGTCCTCATAAATGAAGAATTTTAGACATAAGTGTTTGGTACAATAATGCTTTTCTGAACGTGTTAAGCAACAAATCGCCATATACGTAAATTATAGAACTTATTGGACGTGTCGTGCTAGGTGGCGACCTGTGACAAATATTCTTTAAGCAAATATTTTCTCATTAAACATCGTGTCCGAGCTAAGCCCATTTCTGGTGTCCCCCGCCGTGATATTGCTGGAATATTGCTAAAAGTGGCGTAAAACTAAACTCAGTCAGTCGTGTCCGAGCATGAAGATCGAGGTGACGAAAGCCGAGATGTCACTTGACTTGCATAACATGATCAAACGAAAAGATGGAAATAGTAACTTAGATGTACGTTTGACAACTTTTATGAAAAATGTTGATTTTATTCATTAGTTTATTCAATTGTAATGATTTCCTCGAAACGTCCATACTTTGCTCTTTGACAATTTTTAAGTGGAACCGTTGCCAAACCTTTGGAAAGACTTCCGCCAATCACCACCCACCACCACCGCCACCGCCACCTATATTAGCTGAATATACATATATATATATTTCCTCACCATTAAAATTTAGGGGGTATACGGGCGGAAGTCTTATGTGCGGTGTTGAATGGGTTAACATTAAACAAATAAATCTTTTGCGGTATACGTCATAAAAGTATCGCTAAACGTAATTGTTACAATTTACGGGCGGAAGTATTGCGGTTTACCGGTATACCGGTAATATCGTGCAGCCCTATAAAATACAACGTGTTTGTAGCATACATTGCATACTACTAGTATTACATACTAGGCATAATACTCGACGCCTGGGAAACATTTAATTGAACCAGTAAAAAAACCGTATACATTTCCGATTAAGGTAATCTTAGACATGAGATTAAGGCTAAGACTATAGGTCATCAAGACAGAAGGGATCATACCATTCTAGAGAGAGGAATTGGGTTCTCCGTTTCCAAGTTACATTTTGATTGATATATATATATTTTTCCAATGTGTTTAATGTATACTATCCCAAAAAAGAAACGCATATGCGTTTTGTATTTTTTAAAATCTCTTAATTACCAGTTGTATTCAAACAATCGTCAAAATATGTAACAAAAGTGTTGATAACATGCTCTTACATTCTTGTACAAGTTAAAAATCGATTTAACCTGAAAATGTTGATTTTGATAAGATTCTCAACAGAATTAAAAAGGCATTGCCAAAACGCAACCTTCCTGTTGAAATTGTGCAGCAAAAGATCGGTACATCCGGGGAGTACATTTGCGTCATCGTACTGTCATGGGCTGAGAGCACAGCAGCTAGGGTGCCTGGACTTCGAAGGATATCCGGTCAAACTGTACAGAACAGAATGAGAGAGATTGGACTGAGAGCCAGGAGACCCGGCGTCGGGACCATGCTATGTGGCCACCCTCGCGCTCAACGTCCCCGTTATCTAAAATTATCCACTTGGTTGTATATACATTACCTTTTTTTTGAACTTATGTAAAAATGCATGTACTAAAATTTATTTGTTGACGAGTTATACATGTTTGAAAATACAACATTTTCGCAACAGATTTCTGGGGTATGCGTTTCTTTTTGGGAATAGTATATTTAACTTCATATATATTGTATATGTTTTTATTCAGAAATGAAGGCAAAATTCCTACATTACATCTACAGGTATATACAGTGTTCAACAGTGGATTTCTATTCTAAAAGCTTGATACATGAACGGAGTTATATTTTTAATTAATACATGGCTAGCAGTAGACAATATCTGGCATAAATTTTGTTTTGACGTTTATTTCGTAACATAGCTAGGTATATATTGCTTCGACCTTTTACTGTATTGATCACAAATTAGTAGATCATGGTACTCATTTTCAATGATATGTTTGTTGTTGCCAAAGGCCGTGATATTACAGCTTTAAGGCCGTGGTCTGTAAATTATCGACTCAAACCAGTAATCAACATCGATCCAGAATACGATGACATGTGTCAACCAAGTCAGCGAGCCTAACAACCCGATCCCGTTTTTCGCCTCTATCGACAATCATGGGTTGCTGAAGACCATTTCTAACCTGCATCTTCACAGACACATAATTTGTATTGTCTGCACATTGAGGGGTTTGTTTTCGTTATAACACATTTAAACTGAGCGAAACTGGGGTAGGGCTATTCATACATTCTTCAAATTGACATAACGCACGTATGGGTCATTCATGCAGATTTCTTCAAACAAGGAATAAGTAAAAGTACAGGAACTATTTTAAAGTTTTGTTGCCACTCTTGTATAGAATTATCTTTCCTTCTTATTACAAGTAAATCTAACAAAAGCTGTTTGTCGCCAATTGCCATATTCCCACATAGCAAAGCCCATGTCAAAATAGAACCGTTTTCACTTTTAATTCCTATTAAACCGACTCATGCATTTAGTCCAGATTATGTAACATTTTATACACTTTTGTCGAGTTTAGATTGCATGGACAATAGGTTTAACCAAACAACAATTCAAGTTTAAAGAGTCAATATATGAATAGGATATCTACCAGTTTCACCAAGGACAATGTTATTGGGTGTAGACATTCGCAAACTTGGACATCGTTTACGTGCATAAATATTACCCCTTTCAAACAATCGTGCTTATAGGACCCCCATAATGCTGACCAGTACAGTAATATGGGCATTATCTTAAAATATTTTAAAATAAATATCATTAAAGAGGTATAGAATGATTACTAATAAGTTTCTTGGCATACATTAAATGGTTTGGGGAGATAGGGACATTTCAGAGTTTTACTTAATAATACACCAAGATGTTGGTAGGAAGTGACAGCTTCAATGGTAGTTGATTTATAGGTTCATGTTTTGACAGTTTAGATCCATCTTTAAACACCATATTTTTTGCTTTATCGAGGTTGACGCGTATTGGATTAGTTTCTAAGGTATTAATTGGCCTTTGTAGCCCTATGACAGATGACCATTCCATCAGCAAACAGTAGTATATAGATACCAGTAAGATCTTGATATAACTGAACACGATTCACACATAAACAGTTAATCTCAACCACTATTTCGTTAATGATAAAAGAATACACAAAGGCTTAGGACACAACCTTGCCTAACATCAACGGGACTATCAAATACTCACTTAAGAACATTGTTATTTGTACGAACACAAGCTTTAACATTATCATGAATTTATTTTAAGCTTTTATCCATTTTTGAATGGAGACGATGCAATTCAAAAACCATAGTTTGTGTCTCTGCACTGAATCAAATGCGTATGGGAAATCTACAAAACATGTCTATAATGTATCGACTTTTTTATACATATGGGCTAAATACTTCTTGAGTTTATTGTCTGTGGTAGAATAGCTTGTTCTAAAACCCTCTTTTTTTTCATTTACCATTTGTTCACGGCTGATGACGAAGGACTGGAAGCAAAACAGGGCGTAGAATCCAATCTCTGTATCGTACGGCATTTAACCATCAGTTATGACAATGGCATCCTCTCGTCACCACAAATGCCTCCCCACACCATGGCACTCCTACACCCAAAGGGGACGAACAACGAGGAGCACGTTCTCCACCTCGACGATAAACAAGGTGTCTGTCATTAGAAGGGAACATGCAGAACGTGCTCTCCTCGGTGAAGAGGACGCGCTGTCCAATATGACGTCGCCAACGCTTCGCTGTTCTTGCCCGTCACAGTCGTTTATATATTCAAAATTGATGACCCCCTACCTCCCCAGAACAAAATGAGTGACCACCCCACTCCTTCAGGGTATAAACGGTCCCTAACAGTTGCGGAAAGTCTGCAAACTAAAGGCCAAACACAACTATTAAATCTGAATCAAAAACATTATTATTATATACAATCTTTTGTTTAAGATATCGTCACCATCACTTACATTTTCTTTTTTTTTTGGTTGTCTTTGGCTGTTTACTTTTTTAGTTGCATGGATCGTTTCTACCTTTGCAGTACTTCATTCTGCACTATCCACTGCTGTTGAAATAGTCTGTCGCAACTAATTCTTGTGTCAATTAGCGTCAAGTCCCATCAAATTATTGAAGTTTTAAACAATAAAATAAAAACTTCATGACAAACAATAATCTTACAATTATAGTATTTACATGAGGGAAATAATATATTTTGTATTTCTTTCAGCAATATATGTCCCTACACGAAGGTCATCTACAAATCAAGCTATATCTGCATTTCTTCTTGTTGGTGGACGTAAGTCTTTGCTTCGAAATTTAACTATTACATACAATCAAACACCGTTGTGTCGAACATCAGTGTGTCGAACATCAGTGTATGGAACTTCCGGTTGTCTCGAAGTATAAAATACACGACCCCTGCGTATCCCTTATATAGCCATCATTAACTCGAAGTATTTACGTAGATCCCTTCAATTTCAACAATGTTTGACTAAAGTGCGGACGGTGACACTCATAGTTTCCAAAGGAGACAGTTCATCCTTTGACATTTTGTATCAGTTGTGCAGAACACACTCACCGTTAAGCAAACAACACTATGCAATATTGAACACAATAAACATAACATTGTTTTAGCCTGTGTCTATAATATAGTAGGAATTGTAAACATGAGTATGCTTTCAGCAGAAACTATTCCGTTTTCTTTATGGTTTTAACGCTTGTTTATTAGCTTGCAATAATGAGAATTCCTCGACTTTATGCATACCTTGATGTTTATGTGAGGTAGTGTTTATAATATAGTCGGAACCTAAAGCGGAGTATGCGTTCAGCAGAAACCATCCCTTTTTCATTATGGAACTATGTTTTGACGTATTCTTTGATATATTGCAGTAAGGGGCCGTTCATAATTTATCGCTAGGGGGGATGATGATGATTCTAAGAGGGGTCACCAACTTTGTTCTAGGGAGGCGTGGGGGGGGGATCAATTCTGTATGCATGTATAAGGGGAGCAGCAATTTTGTACATAGAGATATTAAAAATTAGCCTTAAGAATTATGGGAATGGAGGGGTGTCATTGATTGTGTACATGATACGCAAGGCTGGGTCACTTACTTTGTACATAAATTTTAGGGGATTCAAATTGTACATGCTGCTTCATGAAACTCATCATCAACCCCCCACCCCTAGCTATAAATTCTGAAAGGTCCCTAATGAGAATCCCTCGACTTGTGCATATAATTCATACTTTGAAGTTTGTGAAATCAATATTTCATGTTTCAGTTGCTGTGCTCACGCACTTATACACGTGCCCCTTTATACTACAGCTTACAAGTGTTGTCCCGGGTGGGCTGAAAATGGAGATGGAAATTGCAATATCGGTGAGTATTGTTCTATAGAAAATATGAATGAGTCAGATATATGCATATTTGCAGTGAATATGGGCTTGACTTCATGACGATTATGTGGAATCTGTACTCCTAAAATATTTTAAGATGACTAGTTACTCTTATCTTGCTTTTCTTTCCGATTTTTTGTTATATACTCAATACAGATAGGCATACTGTCTTGAAAATGTGAGCTTGTTCAAAGACTGGAAAAGAGCAAGAGGGAAGAAAACTATTTTTTTATTGATTTTTAAAAACTGTTGGAAAATACATTATCATTTTCGTCATGAATTGTATTGTGGTTTTCCACTGGTAATTCCACAATAGACTCTCTTCTGAACTACTTTCAGCACTGTGTTACCCCCCGTGTGCTAATGGTGGAACATGCTCGTCCCCAGGAAGATGTAGTTGCAAGGATGGATATACTGGAGCGACATGCACTGGACGTAAGCTGCTTCGTGGTTCGTTTAGAATAGGTCTTCAGCAACCATGCTTGTCGTAAGAGGCTTCTGGTGGTAAGGCATGTCATCGCATGTTACAAGTTTAGACATTGATCACTGGATTGTCTGATCCTGACTGGATCATTTGCAGACCACTGACATATATCTTGAATACTGCTGAGTGAGGCGTTAAAGAACTTAAACAAACGTTTATAGCAAGTCAACATCTTATTGTGTAAGAATGCATTGATTACTCAAAACGTTATATAAAATATCGTTTAATGTTGTGTTATTGTAAGGGGAAATGTTGATTAACAAAGAGTCACTCGAATGAATTGTCCATGTGTTTGGACACGTACCAATTTCACCATATGAGGCACATGGATTTGTAGGATCTGGTATTTGATCCACAGCATTATGTTCCCTCAAGGAAACATTATACACACTGACCTGAAAGTAACTGTTTCTAGATGACTGTAATACGGAGCGACCATGCTACCCAGGGGACTGTCAAGAGAATGGTGCCAGCGTTGTTTGCAACTGTATGGATGACTTCGATGGGGAGTTTTGCATACATCGTAAGTCAAGTAAACGTTTTCCAACATTTGAGCTCCTCTATATTATTGATAAATGTTCATTGTTGTGAGTGTTTTAATCTAAACAGTCTCAGTTTCAATTAAATTAATTTCAAAATGTAGTTATACATGTATATACACACAGGAGTAAGATATTCTGTTGAACCATGGACTTGAATTGCGTTTCATCAAACATATGATGGAAGTTTGATACGTGAATACATGTACATCCATTTTCGTTTTGTTCACTTTTAAGTATTTACAAGAACCATTGTTGAAGGTGTGAATTGACACATAACAGAGGTTGTGATCATCTATTTGGAGTAAATGAGTTAAGATTTTAAGTCACATCGGCAGTATTTCAGCAATATCGTGACTATAATAGTAAGTGAGTGAGTGAGTTAAGATTTAAAGTCACATGGGCAATATTCAGCCATATCGTGACTAAAACTAGTTCTAAATTCATAATACATACATATAATATATAAAACCCTGTCAACGAAGGACAGTAAAACCACTAGATTATCACAGATTGACTTAAAACTAGCTAGCAGATATCATTAAAAGTAGAAAATTATTTCTGGACAATATAATGTAAAAATGGGCTAAAGATCCCCAACAACTGAAGGTAGATCACCATACTAAGGACCATGGGGACTTACAGTGCCTTTGCTACCCGTGACTATAATAAGTAGTAGATCTATAATAATTAAAACCAAGTTATAAAACCCTGCCAACGAAGGACAGTAAAACAACTAGATGATCACAGATAAAGATATAATACTAGTATACAAATCTAAAACCGTTGAAATATAGAAGACAATACAATATATAACCGGCTGTAGATCACTAACAACTGAAGGTAGATCACCATACTAGACATCATGGGGACTTAGATTTGCTTTCTGCGTGGACCCTAGCTGGATTTACCCCATCCCTTCAGCTGTTAGCAATTTAGAGAAATCTAGCCATACATTAAAAGCACACATATTCTACGACTAAAACATTGGTTACATTAAATGTACTTGAATATTTTGGGTGAGTGAGTTTATATTAAACGTCGCATCGGCAATTTTGCAGCCATATTGTGACGAGAACAAATTCGACGTTTATAAGCAATATGTATATATTATAACACCTGTCGGCAAAAGACAGTAAAACAACTAGATTATCACAGTCAGAATTGAAACTAGCATGTGAAGTTAAAGTTAATAGCGCTATTTGGACAATACATAATATAAAAACAGACTAGAGATCGCCAAGATAAGCTGAAGATAGATCACCATACTAGGGCCCATGGGGACTTACAGTACTTTTGCTACCTGCATGGACCCTAGCTGGATTTACACCACCCCCTCAGCGGCTGGCGAATGTACTGAGGTTTAGCCATTATTAAAAATAACAAATATACTATGATTATAATTCTGGTAAGTTGAAATGGACTTTGAAGTTTTGGGACTTATGTATCCTCTCGGGCGATATATTTGGATTCATTTGAACATTCCACCAAACAGTCAAGAAGACACAAGTGCCAGAGGTGACGCAGATACAGGCACAGTTTTCATACATTGAGGATGGCAAGCACATCTATAGTCTCATAGCAGACGGTACAGAGCAAGCTGAACAAGTCATTGTATGGACAAATCAAGAGCGACTCAACAACATCAACGTAACGGCCAGTGCTATATTTAAAGGCAGAGCTCTGCCACATCCCCCATTTTATATCATCGAAGCCAAGACTGGAATTGCCAGAGCATTTGTCAAGATGAGTAAGTAATCGGTAGTGAACGTATTCCTTTCAGTGATACATTCGTATAAATTCCATCGCTGTTTTGCCATTTACTCTCAGTGGAATCTGTTTGCTTGGATTACCATGTTATTGTCGGACACAAATCGTTCGTCAAAATGTAAGGATGGAAACTAAGTGAAACTACCCATTGAGTCGGGGGCTGTGGGAAGCCTAGTGGCTAAAGTGTTCGCTCGTCCAGCCGAAGTCCCGAGTTCAATTCCCACATGGGTAACTTGTATGAAGTCCATTTCTGGTGCCCCACCGTGATACTGCTGGAATAATGCTAAAAGTAATTAGTAAAGACCCTAAACTCAGTGATTAGTATACAAGTGTGTTTTCAGACCTTGTAAATGTGGAAGTGTGATGTTTTGGTGTTTACAATCTCCAGTGTCATTCTTTCGTTTTGTTGTTCTGTATTGGAAATGTGCAGTTTTGGTGTTAATCAATGTCCAGTGTCTTCAAGCATTTTTTTGTTCTGTGGAAGTGTGCAGTTTTGGTGTTTGTCAATCTCCAATGTCCTCAATCACTTCATTTTATGTTCTGTATTGGACGTGTGCAGTTTGGGGTTGTCATTCTTCAATGTCTACAAACATGAAATTTTCTCTTTTGTTCTGTATTGGACGTGTGCAGTTTGGTGTTCAGAGATGTGTTTTGTTGTTTAGTGTCGCACTCCAGCTGTAAGGCCGCGGTCTGTATTACAAATATATATATAATTATGTTAATAGTATAATTAGGATATTGCTTGTCATGGAGTTGTTATATTATTCTTCAAAGTTTCATTCATTTTTCGGTATTATGACTCTAATTCACATAAGAAGTAGTTTTTACAATCGGTTAGTAGGTTGGTTAGTTAACTTAACGCCGCACGCACGCAGCAATATTCCACTTATATGGCGGCGGTCTGTAAATAATCGAGCCTGGAACAAACAATCCAGTGATCAACAGCATGAGCTTCGGTCTACATAACTGGGATACGATGACATGTGTCAACCAAGTGAGCGGACCTAACCACACGATGCCGTTAGTCGCTCGTAAGAGAGTACAAATGTATGGGATGCTGAAGACCAATTCTAACACGGATTTCTTACGGTTCTCAAAGATATATCCAAGGCACAAAGTTCTTATATACTAGGTAGGATGGGCTTTCAAGATACGATTCAGTTGGAAACCTTACTAACGATGATACATATTACATTTGTAAACAATTAGAGGCAGTAACTCCAAATTTCATTCGCTGCTGCGCAAAGGTAACATATATTTTACTAGCCCTTCAACCATTCGCTGCCAATTCTTTAATATTAACTGTAACGTACTGCTTCATGAGCGATTGAGTGAGTTATGTTTTACGCCGTACTCTGCAATATTCCAGCGATATGACGGTGGTCTGTAAATAATCGAGTCTCAACCAGACAATCCAGTGATCAACAGCATGAACAATGATCTACCCAACTGGGATATTGTGACATGTGTCAACCAAGGTCAGCGAGCCTGACCACCCAATCCCGTTAGTCGACTCTTACGACAAGCATGGGTTAATGAAGATCAATTCTAACCAGGACCTTCACGGGTCTACTCCCACATGACGATTGTTATCTAAAATGATGCAGATCCATGTAAATTATACGTTTTACCAAGGTGGACCTGACATTGCTTCGCCGGACAAGGAATATGCTTGTGATGAAACAGTCAGCTCCGAAAACCCAAAGAACACGGTCAGCTGTTCCTTTGGGACAAAGTACAATAACCTTTTGTTTGATGGTGACAAGTAAGTTACATACGTACATTTACTTTTGTCTTGCTATATTCTATATTTTCAGCCAACAAATGAACACTTTTGAATATTGTCACCAAATTTGTGAATACCACCCACAATGGTATAAAATGTTGTTATGCTTAAAAATATTTTTGGTTCCACAAATGTACCAAATTAGTTCCTCATTAGTACCAGGTTACGTCTGTAGCGTAACATATCACGTCCTTCAAGAAACGATTCAACTTGAAAGCCTCTCGAACGATCAGACCTGCTATTTCTGTCAGTCAGGGGCAGCAGTAACTCTATATTTCATTCGCTGCTGCCAAAGGTCACAGATAGTTTACTAGCGCTTCAACCATTCGTCTGTAGCTTAACATATCGCGGTCGTTCCGCACGCATTTCCTGAAGTTTGGTGCAGTAAGGCTAGGAAACAGACTATTGTGAGAAGTGGTGTAGTTCATTGCACTCAGCTTGTAAATCATGCTTGGAAACTGACGATTTGATAAATGTATATGGATATGTAAATATGATCATGGATAAAATAGGGTCCAAATCGAGGATTCTAACCCATTATCAAAGTGTCCCGGTATGCTTAAGGGTTGCCACTACGTAGTGAGCGAGCGAGTGGGTGGAGTTTTCAGTGAGTGAGTGAGTGAGTTTAATCTTAGGCACGTCAGCAGTATTTCAGCCACATTGTGACTTGGTCAAGTTAGTTATACAGTTATACGATAATATACATACTGCCATCGATAGACATTAAGAAAAATAGTAGAGGGCGCCAGCAACATAGGTATGGGGTCATGGTGAATATATCACTAGCAGTCGAATTACATTTGTCATTAGTTACTGGCGATTGTCACAGCTTTAGTCGGATGATAAAAATATGCAATTATTATTAAAATTCAGATAGATAATACAACTTTGTCTTATATACTGCAACTAACAACAATGGATTGTGGTGAAGACGACATTTTCTCTGATTATAAAAGTCCTTCATAAACGGACTTTACGTTAATCTAGGTTGACCTTGACATTCCGAGTTTCAAGTGGTGGCTACCGGAGTCTGATCGGAGGAGCCACACAACACTATACCGGGGAGGACGCTGTCAGCATTTTAGCATTCCACGTTGACACGGTTAAACCCGTGTACAACAACCCCAATGACGGTTTTCAGATTCACCCAGAATTCACAAAGGTAACCCCGTTTACCATACTCTTAGCTTCATAGTTTGTATGAGGAGACATCTCAGGTATATTTCCAACAAAAACATATTGGTATGGGTATAGTATGACGATTACAAAGTCAAATATACACTGAAACGATAAAACTGTTGGCATTGAAATGTATTTTAAAATGTTGGATCTAAATTGGGGAGATTGTATGACACTGAAGAGATTGTAATGTACTACTGATTTTCGAAACTACTCACGATCACAAACAGACGCATAGTGAGTGTGTTTAGTTTTACGCCGCTCTCAGCAATATTCTAGCTATATGCCGGTGGTCTTTAAATAAATCCAGGCTGCACCAGACAATCTAGTGATCAGCAACATGAGAATCGATCTTAGCTATTGGGATACGATGGCATGTGCCAGCCAAGTGAGCGAGCCTGACCACCCGATCCCGTTAGTCCCCTCTTACGACAAGCCTGGGTTACTTGAAGATCAATTCAAACTCTGATCTTCACTGCTTCACGATGTCATCATTTCGATGGTGGCCGTCTCACTCGACATTGTGGCATTTGCAAAAGTTATAATTGCAACAGAATTGTCAAACGCTGACCAAAACAATCAACTGTATTTACCTTTGTTGAAGAGTACATAGTATTAAGCAGATAGAAATGACTGTCACACAAAGTGCAATTTCATTCAGATTCCAATTACTTGACTTGACAACAGAAAATTTCCATTATCATTTACTCTGATAATTGTAAATTGTGAAATTACGAGAGTGGCGAGCATTATTTCCCATTATCCAGTTTCGGAGGAGAAGTTTGTCAATCTCCTCGAATAAAGAAAAAAATAATCAGTCTTTTCATTACATAGCAACCAATCGAAATGAAGTGGGAGGGTTGGACCGACACTAAATCTGGAATGGACAAGTACACATGGGAAGCATTCAAACTTGAACCAAGTCAGAACGGAAGCTTGATGGAAGTAGACAAACTGAGACCCGTTGTTCACAGAGAAGTTGACCATACCGATCCAATCTCCTATCCTCATCCCTATGTCCCAGCCAGACCAGGGATGTATTCTTTTGTCTTTGAAGCTGCCGACAAGGCCAATAACTCTGTATACCTGAGAAGGTTTGCTCTGTACGACAAGGAGTCGGCAGTGACCACGGATCCAGCCAATGCCCTGTACATATCGTCAGCTGTGCAAGACAATGGCTTCCAGTGGATGGTCGATGCCTCCACGCCACTTGTCATTAACTGGCAAGATCATTTTCTTAATTATGTCCATGAAAGTGGTAAATTCCTGAACAGCATCCTCCCCTTCCGTGTGAAGGTTGTAGAAGACCCACCAATCTACAAGGAAGTACCTCATACAAATGATGATCATTATGGAAGAAGAACTACAGCGGCTATCCCCAATGTACGGGGCATTGTGAGATTTGAGTGGACGCATGCCGTCAACAAGAGTGGAGGCAGAGCGCACCACACACCAGTAAATTGGAATGATATCTCGGGTCTGAACACAACAAACCAAACAACAGTTGGTTGGTAGTATTTTGTAATGTTATTGTTTGTGAACTTCAAAACAAAATATTTTTGACTTTTGCGTCAAATGTAAATTTTTTGTTTAAGCTAACACTGATAAAATAACTTTGTCTCGGCACGACAGAACATCAACCTGTTTTCTGACGAAAAATGACCCATTTTTTGTTTTGTTTTTTTTAATTGTATGACTGAAAGTAGTTGAGGACATGTAAGGAGGTCATAGGTTGTCCGAGTTAGCAGTGTCCAGTGTATGTGGACACACGGAAGTGAACATAGAATATGGAGATAAATAACACAATTCACTAAACAGAAACAAAATGTTCCCTTTCGGATTTCATGACAAAAATACGACAAAAAGTTATGAGCTTCATTTCGTTGATGAAAGAATAAGGTTCAGCAGGAAATTTCTTTACACATTATGCATATTCTCGACACGTTTACGTTATCACTACGTGTTCTCGACCCTTCAGCTGGTGTTACTAGCGGAACCACCGTTACTGTGTGGGTAAGAGCCTGGGACATCCTTGACAACAGGAAAGTGGACTCGACAAGTGTAACCTACGACTTCACCGAACCACAGTTCACTTTGATGACATTCAACAAAAATGAAAAATCCAACATTCCCTTCAGTTCCGGGTAAGAAAAAGGAGATTGTAAATTGGCTTGACTGCAGAGTAACCCTATGTTGAGCATTTTTAAATGCAAAATATTGTTCACTTGTTCATTCAAAATGTATTGTTTCCATATTAATTTATTTAATTAATTTAAATCTTCAAATAGTATAAGCTTAATTTCGTCAGATATTATAGGACTTTCTCGTCAAAACTGTAACTGTGTTGTTATCACTAATTACTCGTTGTTTTTGTACAACTATTCTGTGTTGATTTCTGT